TTCTGCCCTCAGGTCCTCATTCCTGCCATCCACATCCATCTGACCAGTGCAAAAAACTGCTGCTCCAACCGCTGTGGGGTGAGTGTGTGTCCCACAGATTCAGGTCATTTTACTCTGCTTCATAAGAATCAACTCCAGTTCAGAGCATGTCTCGGTCACGGAGAGAATTTGAAGGTGAATTTGAAGCAGCCTTGGCAGGGGCAATAGCTGACCACACCTCAGACCACCGGTCATCTGAGGCATTCGGCTTAAAGTCGGCTCTCATCATGACCTGCTATGCTAATAAAAGTGATCCTTACATGACTGGGAGCGTTTTAAACAGCCCTCTTTCCCTCTCTGGGGGGTCTAATCCTCTCTGTGACTGTGCCCCTGCAGATGTTCCTGTCTATTGGCTTCGCAGCTCTTGGAGTGGTGGGGGCCTTGTACAGTTTGACTGTTGCTGGCGTTGGTCTTGCTAATGGCCCCACATGCTTCTGGAGAAATGCTGATTCTCCAATGGGCATGTGGGGAGCACCCTTTGCCAACAGGTACATTTTCTACATAAACTTTTCTAAGAACGCGTCCTAACCTCTGCACACCACATCATTTTCCCCTTCAGACCTGATAACGCTTCCTGTGTTTGTCTTTTCCAGTACTGGCAGCTACCTGGGCGACAAAGAGATGTGGAAATGGTGTGAAATTCCAGAGAATGTAGTGGAATTCAACGTGGCCCTCTTCTCCACTCTGCTGGTGGCGGCGTGCGTACAGGTCGTGCTCTGCCTGATCCAGATGGTTAACGGACTGTTTGGCTGTCTCTGTGGCACCTGCTCCAGCAAGGAGGTGAGAAGAGAGTAGAGAAAAGCTGGTGTCAGCTCACTGAGCCGGCACACTGTCTGCCCCATGTCAGCCTCTGGGGGAGCCCCTCTGCTGACCAGTGAGTGGCCAGGGCCAGGCATAAATGCTTAAGAAACAGTATGAGTATGAGTTCAGAAAGAAATATGACCCAAGTTTAAAGACAGCTTGCTGCTGTCAGTGTGCTTGTTTTTGGAAAAAGCACAAATCTTTCTCCCTTTCATGATGACTTGCTGACCAGCAGGAATGGATTTGTCTGTCTTTGCTCCTCTTTAAATGCACACATATGGCCCCATTTTTCAAGAATTCAAGTCTGTTTTTTTAATGAAGCAGCATATCCATGAATGTCTCCAGGCACTTTAAAAATACAACGCAAACTGAATCAAATTATTCTAGCACAATCATAACCTAATCTGATCCGTGAATTCCGTAATTCATAAAGGTTTTCTGTTCTGGACCTGATCCTGATGGATTATTCAGTCTTTTGTGACCTCAGGAGATTTTGCTGCACGTAGCTTATTGTTCCATTAACACATTTTTACAGCGTGGTTGTTGTTTCCATACTGCATCTCGCTACAAGAATCTGTGAAACAGGAACCTTCAAACTCAGCTCAAAAGTTCTTTACTTAGATAACACCTTCCAATATTTTGGTTTGTTTGAAGGCAAGATGTAGCAAAGAAAAGGCTGTGATTACAATCCCATAAGAAGGCCTCCCAGGTCTGATCCCCTCAGACCTGTTGCCAGACTCTGGGCCGCGGGGGTATTCTCCGTCAGCTGGACATTGGTATTCCCACACACACCATCTGTGTGCCAGACCTCAGTGGCTTAAAGTCTTTGGCATGAAGTGAGCTCCGTTGGATTTTAAATGCAACACACACTGAGCTCAGATGATGGAGTAGAGCTCAGTCATCGTATACTGAGCTGCTGCGCCCCCCCATAACACACACGCACACACACACACGCACACACACGCACGCACACAGAGGAAATCTAACTGAGTCTAATTGAACACATTTTGGTGGACTCATATCTGCTGTTTAACCCCGGCTGCTCCTCTGGGCCGGGCCTGTAAACTGATCCTTGTCTGTCTTGTCTCATTAGTGACATTTTACATCCACACATGCTGACCCCGTGAAGAAGAGCTGAAGGGGAGCTTTATGTCCTCAAGTTTGTCATCAGGACCTTCATCACACATCAGCGGCCCCTCCAGCAGTCCTGAGGGGGGGTCCCCCCCGGTCCTCGGGTCCTGAGGGGGGGTCCCCCCCGGTCCTCGGGTCCTGGCCCTGCACCTGGAAACCTCCTCTCTGTCACCAGAGTGCCATAGAATCACCCCGAATGTTTATGAGTCTTGACTTGAAATGGTTGATTTCTCCTAATTCTGATTGGAATGTAAACGAGGCCCATCATGTCTGTGTACAGTCAATTGTAAATTTGTTCAAGCATTTTATAATAAAGTTTTAGACATAGCAAAAAGATCAAGTTCGATCAATATCAAACTGAAAGATTGTATAAAGAATAAAAAGTATGTCAGCTTCTATCTGAAGCTCCATTTTAACCGAACAGATTACTATAATAATGTCTCATACACATTTCTCTAAATTCTCCAGGGGAGAGAAGGTTTACTGCATGATTCATCTCACCATCACAACCAAATAAGTTGATGGGAACCATGGGAAAATGAACTACTCTTTCACTTTTAAGGCTTCACATCTAGGACCTGATGAAAAAGAAAACTCAACTGTAGAAAACTTATAGGCTTATTACTGAAAGAATGTAAAGTAGCTAAATCTGAAAAACAAATGATTTACAGACGGAAAAAAAGCGTTTGACACACTGCTGAGTCTGCACATTTTCCCACTTGCAAAGAATGGAGAGGTCTGTACATTTATTGTAGGCAGTCTGTGAGAGACAGAAGCTAAAAAAATGAATAAACAATTATTCTTTTGTATTTCATTGCACAAAATAAGTAATTGACCATCTACCAATTTGCTAAATTCGGACTTTCAGAGAGCTGTTAGATCAGCTGCCACATGCCCTCCTCTACTCCACCTATTACCTGCATTAATAGCACCGGTTTGGAGCTGTGCCCCCCCCATGGGCATGACCAAAGAGCTATACCGAGGCTGGAACCAGCTACAGAACGCTACAGCCTCCCCAGGACAGGTCTGTGACTGCTAACACTGAGTGCTGTTTGTCTACTGTGGGAAATATTTCACTCCAGGCCATGAGGGAAGGAGGAGAGCTGGGCAGGTGCTGGGGGGGAAGACTGGCTCCAGGGCTGAACCAAACCACTTTCAGTGATGAATAATAAGCTGTTCTGGCTTATTGAAAGTCTTTCCTACGTTGGATGATTTTTCCACTGTGTTTTAAATGAGAAGAACACGATATTTAGAACTCTGCATCCACGAATGTGGTGACATTCAATGTTTTATGAATACCCATAAAAATGGCTATCATGATTAATCTTAAGATGTTGGGAAAACCTGACTGACGTTCGCAGAGATATAAAAATCAACTAGACACAGCAGTTCCTGTAAAAGAGTGATAAGAATAGCTTAATACTGAATTAAGGCACGGAATAAACAAACCAGGAGAGGCAGAATAAACGCTGAAACTGTCGCAGACAGAGGGTGTTTATTTGTTCATATTTGATACTGTTTTCTTCATAAATACTGATAGTATAATTTACTTTGCGTGGCACTACTGACATCTGTTGATGGAAATGTGTTTTGCACCAAAAACCTGCGCTGAGCACAAAACCGACTGGGAGACGCACCTTACTGGAGGCTACAGCAGGGGAACAGTTAGCCTGGGTTTTTGGCTTTAGAGAGAAGATATGGACCATAACATCTAAACGTTTGGTCAGAAGGTGCTCAAGTTATGTGTACATGTTTTATTTTGTATGTGAGCTTTATTTAGGTTGTAAATCTACAAGCTTTTATGGACACTAAAATGAATACAAATGTGTTTAAACAGACGCTGAAATGTTGAAAACGGCTCTCTTTTAGGTGTGTGTGGATTGTGTTTTGCACATATTTCACACACTGACCAAAGTGTTGTAAGGAATTATAAAATCCACGTCCCTCCTGATAAGACATGATGTAGTCCCAGACTCACTACTGCAGCATACTCAACAAACAACACCAGGCATTCCTTAGATCTCCTGTGGGTTTGACTGCTGATTGGCCCCCGGCCATATGGATAAGAAGCAGGTGAACTAGGCCTGGCTGCTGCCACACGCCTTAACCTCCTTAGCAAAGGCACCAGTTAAGGGATTAGAGGCTTTAACTCTAAAAATGGAGCCAGGGCTTGTGCCTAAAGACACGCTGATCCATGCTTTGCACAAGCTAATTATGTTTGGGAGTTCTCCTTTGTTCAGCCAAATGTATTTGTTGGCTGAGTTTAGATGATGAAGTGTTATTCAGCACATTCAGTAGAAGAAGAGTTATTGTTGGCGCCTGTCTTGTGGGTTTGGTTGTTGTTTGACTTGAGTGTCAGATTGACCTCCTTTTTCATTCTGTAGGTTTTATCCAGCTAGTTTCCGCTCAGGTGATGGCTAACTACCATGTCGTCAGGTGTCCATTAGTTCTCATTTCTCTGAGAATATGTTTTGTCAGATCGTTGTCATAGCAACCGCCACCTTTCCAGCTGTTTAGCTTTTCTACTCTGTTGGGCTCCTCCATATCCTGGACTCCCTCATGTTATCGTCCATTTCGACTGCCTGTGACCGTGCACTCCATCATAAATCCTACTGAACCTTTATTCATGGGTTGTGCTATCCAGTTGGGATTTTTAAAAGGCGTCAGCGCGATTTTCTGTCCTCTACGATAGGTCTTACCTCTTGTCTTTACAGCCCTCATAACTTTGGTCTTATTTCATGGTCACCATATTTCTCTGTGCACCCGTCTGTCCCGATGCTGCCACTTTATTGAACCTCCCAGCCTTTTTCACCATCCACGGACAGCAGAAGAATGCCCTTATTGACCCTGACTCACACAAACCCCAGAGTACACAAAGATGGTTTTACTGGAAATGAAAAAAGAAACAGCAGAGCCTCTCAGCCAAGAGCAACTGGAGCAGGAGGAAGCAGCAGTTTTTCTGTGATGTCTGCCATCTGAAGGACGGATATCTTCATTACCGGATAAACAGTAAGCGTTTGTGGTACAAAGCAGAACATTTGGGAACACCTGAGGACAAACATTCAAAAGCTCTCCATCAACTTCCATCCATGCATTTTCATAACCTCTTATCCCATAGTGGGGTCACTTGGGGACTGGAGCCTATCCCAGTAGCCAATGGGGAGAGGCGGGGTCCCCCTGGATGGTCCCCAGTCCATCACAGGGACACACAGAGACACACAAGGACCAACGACCACTCACACTCACTCAAAATGTTGCATTCTACACATTATCACATGCGTTTTAAAGCTTGCTTTGGTTGCATTTTCTCTGGCACACATGAAAACATGCTGAATATGACAATCATGAATAAAACTAGAAAACATTTCTTAAATTTTCATCCATGATTTTGAAATGTTATGAGAATTACACGACTGAGTCATGAAATGTAAGTTATTCCATTTTAAAGGATTAATTGTTTATTAAGGACTCAAACCAAAATGACAACATTAAATGCGATTTTTTTTTTTTTTTCAACAGGTTTTGCTGACGGGATGAAAACTTACCATCAATTTTCTGACCTATGAAACTCACCCAAATGCATCACTGCACCCAAGTAAAACTGACCAAAGAGCTTTCAATTCACAGGTCCCATTTCCCCCGTGGCTCCCACAGCCGGTTTCTGTTCCGCCCCTGAACGCATCGCAGGGCAGGACGGATTCCGTCTTTTGGGGGAAGGTGGGAAGTGAGCTTCTGAATGGCGACTAATCCTCTACCTGAGCAACAGTTGAGGATGGGATTCCTTCTCTACTGGTTCATTATGAATATGACTCCTCATTTCCCCTAACTCCCCAGCACACGGTAACCACATGCTCACAAAATCTACACCTCACCTCCGGGTCTCACGACATGTCCTCCAAAACACCGGGTTGCTGATAAGAATTCCCTGCTCAAAATAAGCCAGTCAAAAACCCCTTTGGTGGTTTCTATGCACAGATTGGCCCTCTTTGAAGTGACGTATTCACATGTTGTTATCTTGTACAATGCATAAACTCATGTTTTTCAAATGAGTTGTATCTCTATAAGACCAAACCACAACATTTCATCTCACTGCGTGTTGGTGACATTCTACAGTATCATTCAGTCAATTCCACACACTGGAGTCCATTTCTACGACCACACACTCTCCTGCTGCCTTAACCTGTCAGCCCCTGTCCCTCCTCCCCAGAACCCCTCCTTTTATGGACTCTCCTGCACTCATCTTCAAAAACACAGTAGATTCAGAACTCCCCTGCCCCCCTTCTCCCTGCAGCTCCCCGGGCTGTAGACCAGGTCCAGAATAAGCTCCTCTTGCCCGCCCACAGCTCCCTCCAGGACCGCAGACACACACAGGTGAGACTCAGCCCACGGCCCGTCCAGATGAGTCTCAGTGGCCGGCCCCCCCCCTCAGAGACACAGCGCTGAGCTCAGAACAGAAGCAGTGCAGGAGCGGGGGTGCATTCCTGGCTGACAGATTTACCACAGCTATCGGTGCCTGGTGCCCTCTCACCAGAGACAAACCCACTCACAGAACAGGTCTAAGGAAATCTAACCCCCCCCCCCCCC